AGGAACTTTAGCCCCACTTCCCCTCACTCTGGAGCGGAAGGAACAGTGATGACTGTTTTGACTTTTTTCAGCTCTCCTTTTATAGAACCAATGGCTCAGCTCCCCAGCTGGTTGTAAATCCAAGTCTCTGCAGTGGAGCTGTTCTGATTTACACAAGCTGAAGTTCTGGCCCCTAGTTCAGAAGAAAGGAGTTGCCAGTTTAATTACTTCGTCCCAGGTATGGCATTAATAACGTGGGAATAAATTTAATGCTGCTAAGTAACAGCAGTACAGAGAATTTTGTCACATACATGACAATTAATGTGTGGTGCATGGTATTTCTGCTTCTCCTGAGTTCTCTTTTAAATGATGCTTCTGGTGATTTGAATTTCAAAGAGTACTTCTTCTAGTATTTCTCTTTATTGATGGTGACTGTTTTCAGCAGCAGCTCTGTGCTGCTTTGTTGGATCATCATTTTTGATTCCATGCCCAGATGCTAAGGATAGAAGCGTGCAATTAATTTGGAAGCACAGCCCTTCATTGATTTCCGATGGGAGTTTTTCCTTGAACACCAAAGGCATGATGGGTCCCTGACTACCTATAATATTGTATTTACATGGAAAATGTCTTCCTTTTCCCCTACGGATCTTGCCTTTTGTGAGAAGGGATCCCAAAACTCCCACTGCGCACAAGAACATACAAAGACATCAGCAGAGAGCCATAAGCTATAAGTGATCCCTCCACTATCATGGGAGAAAAAAACCTGATTTCTAGGGACATCAGTGAGCAAGGTGAAAAGTACAGCACTAGTTTAGGCTCCAGGACCACATGCGTAGGCCCACAGGGCAGGCGACAATAAGTTGAGAATATGCTTTTTCTGAGAGCATTCTTCCCCTGGAATGAGAAGGGTCTTTGAGGGACCAGATTTCCTGAACAGCTTACCCACCCACCCAACCCATCCTTAGGTACATTGGGCCTGCAGGCACTGGCTGGCTTAGGACAAGTAGGGTATGTGCACCTCACGAGCAGCTCCATAGTCAAAGCAGAGTCCCATGTGAGTTAGGGAGTTTTCTACAGCGGTCTTAACGCAGCATATGGATGAGTCCCTCCTAGACTTTCTGCACTGCCCAGGATTTTGGTTAGGACATTGTCTTTGTGACAAACTGGCCTCTCCTTTTAATAGCCACTTCAAGAGAAGAAAAGCCTTCCTCATATATAAAAGGCAGGAAAGCACTGGAAATTCACGAGCAAGATAAATTTATATTCCCCTCTGCATTTTAAGATGGCATCAGTTAATTCAACAAGCATCCCTGGCAATTAGATATTTATCAGCCAGATAGATTAATTCCTTTAGTGAGTCTAGTGAAAAGTTTGTAGGATCATTCATCAAGGACTATTCAAGCCATCTCTCCATGGCTATAACACTTAGTAAACACAACGTCCTGTCATTGTGTCTTGCCTCCTCAAGTTTGCCCTTGCACAAATTTTCATACCAGTGTTGCTTTCGCCCTCACTTGAATCCACATATACCAGCTGAAACACAAGAGTTCCTCTCTTGTATTTGGCCCTGGAAGATGAAATCACGGCCCTGACTCTCAGTTGCATGAATCGGCCTACTTAAGGACTAGCCATATCTGGTGTACCATGGGACCCAGGGGATTTCTCCTTCCCCATTCGCTGCAGCTGATCTTTGTGGTCTCTAAGAGCCGGTAGGTTGCTCCTGCCTCAGTGCAACGGATGCAGTTGCTTCTGCTTCCCTTTGTAGCTCCAGCCCGTGGCAAGGCTGATCACATATCCCAAAGAGGCAGATACACACAACGCAAACGTGGCAAGCCACATAGACCAACACAGGAGCCTCTAGTAGCACCCACATACACACCAACAGTGCTCACATAGACACGAACTGCAAAAACGGCCAGATCTTATTCCTCCTGTTTGGCTGCTCAGGATAGGAGTTTCCTAAGAGGCTCTAAGTACCTGGCTAGCCTCAGATGTGTCAACATGCACACACAGAGAACCAGGCCTTACCTGATATTACTAATAAGGTCTCCTAGGCACTGTTGTCCTTGCAAGGCTCTGCTCCCCAAAACATCCCCGATGGTCCCCTTCAATTATCTGTGAAGCACAGCTATCTCATACATAACTCAACCATCTGTGAAAGCCAGTCATTCCTCATGGCGTTATCTGTAACTTTTGTCAGCCTCTCACTCAGTCATTTCTTATGTTCAGCATCTTCTCTGGTCACGTCTCACGGTTTCTCACAGTCTATCCAGACAGCTAAACCTGAGGCCATGCCTAGTCACCTGCCTGTGTACCTGAACAGGCCTCATCTGTGGAAAGCTCTTGACAGACATCCTGAGGAGCAGTGGGACCGAATCCTTCCCACTGGAGCTACAGGGTGAAACAGGGGGCAGGAATCTGGACCTCTCTTCATGAACTGTTACTGTAGAAAGGAAAGGACTTTTTTATGTGTTTCTTGCACTCACAAAGCACTTCCCTAATGTTACAGGACAGGCAGTCCACAGGACCACAGAGAATTCAGAAACCATTGAGATCTCTGTGTACACCTGTTGTTGAGGTTTCCAGGCCATGCGGAGAGCTCCACACTACGTAGCCTCCAGGCAGCAAGAAAAGGGCCTGGTCCTCATCTTAGATCAGAGTTCCCAAGGTTGTTAAGCTACAATTCCCCAGTGGATGAAAAGGCATTTTAATGTGAGATGCTGAACAACACAGAAGATCCCTCATCATATCCAAGGGGAACTTCTATCATCTCAGATATCTGTTGGACTCTGTTCAAGGTCTGTAGCACCTACATATTGTCACCAATGACTGGCTCCTTCCCTTATAATAAATCAAAAGGTGGCCTCAGCATGGGTCCTGTCTGACAGATGGCCACATCTCAATTAGCACAAATGCCTTTCCCGGCTATCTCAGAGCACAGATCAACAATGCAGAAATGGTACAAATCCCTCTCCCTGGAAGCTGTCCTTTCTCGGCAAGGAACTGTCTTATGAACAGGGAAACATTAGTGCCAGCACCTGCTGGCTTTCCATAAGAATCCCAGAGAATTCAAATAGGAGAACTATATCTAATGAGACGAGGCGCAGATGACAAAGTAAAGGTAGTAAGACATTTCTGAGCCAATGAGTCTCTCAACTCCTGAAACTAGGCCACTTCAGTTGAATTTATGTAACCCATCAGGAGCAAAAGAGATACAGACAACCTCTTCCAGAGACTGGGCTGAGGACTTGAGCTAAAAGGTCCTCTCAGATTAATTTAATGCCAGTGGTAAAGCCCTCCACTGTTTGCTTTGTCTTCCTACCAGATGATATCCAGCAGCCACATTTTCTTGGTGAAGGTTATGCAAAGATTGGCAGTGATTCTTTGTGACCTTCTGACTCTTCCTCTGTTGCACGTAAGTGTGCATGTCTAGTTTTTTAAAAAGTAAAAAAGAGCTTAAAAGAACAATGAAATATTCCATTTTTAATGGAATGGCCAAGCTAAACGGTTCACTCAATCAAAAAATTATATATTTTACTTTTCCATTTGTCATAAATACATAATAAAAGAAAAATACTTTGTTCGGGTTGACCCAAAACAAGTTCCATTTTTGTTCTTTCTGAATGACTGGCATACAAATCAACACAAAATTCAGCATCCGCATAGCTCAGCTCCATCTGAGCTAACTGTTTTTCCTTCCTCAGAAAGTTAAAAGAGCTCTTGCCTACACCTTTGGGGTCTGATCCAATTACATGGAAAGATTCTTGTTGCCTTTGGCAGGAGCAGATTCCAGATTTTGGGCTACTTCCCGAACACTATCCACTCTGTACTATCGTTCTGAATTATAATCAAGCCAGAGCATGTTTCAGTCCCCACCACTATCTATCTACTGTGCCAGGTTTTTGGGTAGGCAGAACTCTTATGTGCAGATCTGCAAGTCACAGACCTTGCACATTTCTAAGCACAGGTCCCTAACCGTGTCCCCTAAAAGGTGAATAAATCTTACAGTCTTGTAGCCTTGTTTAATTTTTTACTGAGTCATTACTACTCTAAATACCAGCCTCTAGTACCAGCCTCTAGCCCTTCTCTTCCAAGCCTTCTCCTTTCCATCCCCTCCACCCATCTCCCACCCCTGGTCCTGCACCCCAGCGAGATCATCCCACAACCACAGATCTGATTTGCTAAGGCTGAGCATATCAGCCAGGCTACCTCTCTTAAACCGATTAACGCTGCCATTGTTAGCTGGGTTCTGTTCCCATTGTGCCTGAGATACTCTGGGGGTGGGGGGGCGGGGGCACAGCCTGCCACACAACTGTTGCTTTGAAGCAGTAAGTGACATTTTATTTTCTCTGCAGTGGAGTATGCTTGATGATAGACAAATAAAGACCCAGCCACTGAGTCAGTAGGATCCTTTAGGAGAGAGTTTGCAGGAGACGTTATGAGCCAGCTGCTTCTGCTGGAAGAATGAGGTTTCCCTTTGGCCAACGAGACCTAGACTCCAACCTTGTTCTGGGAACAGTATGAAGGAGCAGCATTTTGTTTGTCCTCCCTCCCTCTTCCCTCTCCGGTGGTAGGTGGTGCTGCTGCTCTTCTTAGAGTTCAGGGATGCACTTGCAGGTCTCTCTCTTTCCACTTCTGTACTCAGGGTGTCTGAGGTCTACCAGAGCACTCACCACCCTGGGAGCTTCTGACTTTTCTTGGAGAGCTGAGAACTACAAACTTAACATTTCTGCCACCAGCTCCTATGAGCAGTTTAGCAAATCAACAGCTGTATCAGCTAACAATGTTATCCAAATCTTCACTACTATCCTGAAGTTCACCCTCACATCCTGCAGCATTCATCACATGGTTTCTGGACTCCCACAGTGTGATGCCTCCCTGGTAGGTTTTGGCTTGGATTTTCCCAGAAGACTTTCAAAGCAGCTCTGTCTCCAAGGGCTCTTGCAGAGTGACTGCTAAAGGAGGTACAGAGCATTTGGAGGAGCAAAGAGTGCGCAAACAATCAGCACAGCGTGACTCTCTGGTCAGGGACCCATGCTTCAGGCAGTGTAATTCAGGCTGGTTCCACCAAAGCCCGTGGTCAGATGCTTGGTCAGTATAATTCCTTGCAACAGCCCTAATAAGAGCAAACAGTGGTGAATTGATTTCCCCAGAGCTACAATGATTTATGTCTGCAAAGGGTCATCCCTTCCTTACCTTATGCAAAAAAACATCCTGTGGTAAGAAAAGCTGCTTGCTTGTCTCTCGTAATCTCTGTTTCCAGGTGGCGTTTTCTCTTTACATCCTGCCTTGATGGCTCCCAGATTTCTAGCTCCTCTCAGCCAGCACGGAACTTAGAGACTCCCATGCCAACCGGGGCCACCCTGCATCCTTCCCCATCTCTCTCCCTCTGCTCTCTGTGGCCTTGCCTTCCTCTCTGTTTGCAAGGATTATTCCTATTCCTTTTATTCCTCAGGTCTTCGGACTACCCAGTCCTCAGGAACTCAGGCCACAGCTGATCCCTGCTCAGAGGCCCTGGGGAACATTCAGAGCCCTGTCCTCAAAGCAGGGTGGGATACCCTGGCTGGTAAGTAGCTTGTCCTAGCAGGATGCTGGCATAAACTTGGACCAGCAAACAGCTGCAGTGAGCCTCAAACAGTCATCACAACTGAGGGAGGTGTGTTTTTTCTCCCCTCTTTGTCCCTTTCAAACAACTCTTCATCCTTCTCTCTTTCACCTCAGTGGTCTGCGTTTCTGTCTACAAGGGCGACACGTCACAGCAGCTCTCCTACTCAGGTCCGTCCGCATCAGCCCTGGAAGGATGAAAGGTGCCTTTAAAAGCAGAAAGAAAGGGTTAGTTTCCATTCCTAGACACACAGCATGAGATGTGGCATGATTAACACTAATTGGAGCAGTGGTAGGCCCCTCCCTTGGTGGCTTTTGGTCAGGCTGACAAGACAGCAGAGGCTGAAGTATCTCCTGGTCTGTAGCGATAGTCACAACCATTGGGATTGTTGGGTCATGATTGCTCCAATACTTGTATTTTCTCAGTTCTGCTACCAAACTCAACTACATCCAATTAGTCTTGACTTCCTCACTGAAACAAAGGTCTTTGGTCTTCCTGGACTAAATGAAGAATGCACATAGTTTGGCATAGGAAGAACGGAAAAAGTGGGGTAACAGTGTTACTGAAAATGATTAGTTCCATGACATCACCAAACCTCACCTTAATAACTGCATGGAAAGCATTTAATTTTGGAAAGATATGTTTGCCTGAAACAGATGGCCCTTGATGACCCAGAAATATCTCCTCTGCTCAATTCTATGTAAATGCTATTTTTCTCTTTCAAGGAAGAAACTAACAAACCGTTTTTGAAATTTTCCTGCATTTTCTCCTGTTTCAAAAATACATGTGGTCACTAAGAAAACGCATTTCACTAGGAATTCACTAGATGTCCAAGCCAGCTGATAGTTCCAACCAGGAGCAGTAATGCCTGGCAGTAAAAATGTGCATTGCAGCAGCTATAAGCCATTTTGTTGCATGCAAGCCCTCCCTCCAGTTTCATTCTTGTACTAGCAGAACAGAAAGAGGACCTCTTTCCTGAAAGTATTACTTGCTAAAGGCATAACAAATGTGACTTGCAGGCTTCCATTCCCAAGAAAGGGAAGGTGAAAAGCATTTTGGTGAGTCATGACGATCATACTTTGGGGATATAATTTCTACCACTTACATATTTATCCTATCCTAGTGCCAAGTACCTATTGCAAAGAGCTGATCACACAAACTCGAGGCATATATTATATTAAGGAAGACACTCTATTTTCTGTAAGACTCAATATCTCACTGAAGGCCAGACCAAGTCAGGAATGAACAAGGGACCAGACATTTAGATGGAGACAAAACCTTTCTGTGAGCACCACCAGGATATACTGAAAACAAAACGAGAATTTGGAAGGAGAAGAGACACAGCAGCTTCAGGGCTGAGTTCAAGCTGCCAGCTGTATGGAAGATATCTCAGTAGGTGGAGGATTGACATGGCCCTGTGTTTGTTATTTGTTTTTTAAATGCTAGTGGAAATGATGCAGATGAGGATGTCCCTTGTGCAAGAGAGGACCCTGGATGCCATGGTCATTTCAGCTACAGAAATGGGGCAGCCAGAAAAAACTGTTCCAGGAAGTCATTTTTGTCTTTCCATCAGGGAAACAGGGCTCTGCTGAAAGGGATGTCTTCTGTGGGAAAGGACCAGTTATTACTGTTTTCAGAAGCATATCAAAGTCAATTTGGGTTGTGGTGACTGGCACAGAGTCTAGTTGGTGGCCTGTAGCTAGTGGTGTCCCAGGGGTCAGTCCAGGGTCCAGTCTTGTTCAATGTACTCTTCAGTGACCTGGAGGAAGGCACAGAGTGCACCCTCAGCAAGTTTGCTGATGACCCTAAACTGGGAGGAGTGGCTGACACACCAGAAGACTGTACTGCCATTCCGAGGGACCTGGGCAGGCTGGAGAGGTGGGTGGAGAGGAACCTCATGAAGTTCAACAAAGGCAAGTGCAAGGTCCTGCACCTAGGGAGGAATAACCCTATGCACACCAGTCCAGGCTGGGGGGTTGACCTGCTGGAAAGCAGCTCTGCAGAGAAGGACCTGGGCGTGCTGGTGGACAACAAGTGAAGCATGAGGCAGCAGTGTGCCCTTGGGGCCAAGAAGGCCAATGGGACCCTGGGGTGCGTGAGGCAGAGTGTTGCCAGCAGGTGGAGGGAGGTGATCCTGCCCCTCTCCTCAGCCCTGGGGAGGCCTCCCCTGGAGTACTGTGTCCAGTTCTG